TCGGGAGTTAAGCTGAAGAGTTTCCAGTCTGGCGGAGGAGGAGAATACACCTCACAGAGGTTCAAGCAGTACTTGGCAGAGAGAGGAATCAAGCGGCTCATCTCTCTTCCCTACGCCCATCAACAGCAGGGTGTGGCAGAAAGAATGAACAGGACCCTTCAGAACACCATGCGCAAGCTGCTACGTGGCATGCGGCTACCCAACCACCAGTGGCCCGAGGCAATGGACCACGCCGTGATGCTGCACAACTTGCTCTCGTCATCATCGCTTCCGAACAACGCATCACCGCACCTGCTGTGGACAGGAAAACTGGGCAGCACAAAAATGTTGCGGAATTTCGGCTGCATGGTACAGTACCGACCCCCAGCTGCACGCGCTGGCCGATTCTCACAACGCGCACAGTGGGGGCTACACCTGGGCATCGAAAAGAATTACAACGCATGGAAGATTTTTTACGTCCACTCAAAGGAAACCGGTACAGCACGTGATGTCATTTTCTGCGAGCGACTCACCCTTTCAACGTACCTGTACAACTTGGAGACTTCACGAGATGTCACAGGCGGATTACGTGGGGACTGAGCCTTCGCTTTGGCAGAAGATGAAGCTGACCTGGACGAGCAAAACGTGGAAGGAGCCTCGGAGGAAGCTGGACCTCTTCCCTACTGCTCGGTTGATGTCCCGATGGACGACGAAAATCCACGTGACAGCATCAACGCCGAAGTAGACTATCACTTCGCCGACAACGGTTACGCTACACCTGCACAAGTCAACACCGACGAAGCAGAACGCGTAGGACCAAATTTCAATCCTACACCAGAAGCGGGAGATGAAGCAGTTTATCCCGAGGACACAACACTCCCCCGCTACACACAGAGTGCACTCCAGATACTTGGCCTCGTCACCGCGGTTCATGGCGCAACCATTCCTAAGGAGCCTGCTACAGTTCAGCAGGCTCTGGGGGGGGAGCATAAGGAAAAATGGCGCGAAGCCATGGACAAGGAGCTGAAAGCACTAGAGAACGCAACACCTGGAAAGTTGTTCCCATCGGAGTGGCACGAAACAAGACTATACTCACCGGGAAGTGGGTCTTCCGTGTGAAGACAAAGGCGGACGGCACCATCGACAAGTTCAAAGCACGCTGGGTCGTACGCGGCTTCGACCAAGAACATGGGCACGACTTCACTGAGACGTTCGCCCCAGTCAGCCGACACACGTCATTACGAATTCTTCTCGCCATCGCCGCCATGAAGAAGAAGAAGTTGCGGCAAATTGACGTCGCCAACACATTTCTCTACGCACCAGTCAACGCAGAAATCTTCGTCGAGCTACCGCACGGCTCCAACGGAGAGCCTAACCAAGTCTGTCAGCTGTTGAAGTCGCTCTATGGCATCAAACAAGCTCCGAGTTTGTGGCAACAGTACCTGCACGCAAGACTCATTCGCATCGGATTCCGCCAGCTACCTCACGATCAAGGCATGTACCGGCTCACAAAGGGCACCGACTACATCCTACTGATCGTTTACATAGACAATTTGCTCTACATCGGCTCAACCGACGGGTTCACCACCTGGTTCGAAGGGGAGCTGCAGCAAGACCTCACGCTCACAGTCTCATCCACCGTCACGCAATACCTCGGCCTCAACATTCAGGAAGAAGAAGACGCAATCTACCTCAGCGCCACGAAATACGCCGACACCATCGCTAAACGCTTCGCACTCACGCCAACCACCATCTCCACGCCATATCGCTACGCGGCAGGAAACAACAAGGAAGGATCCACTCCGCTAAAGCCCGCCGGTATACGCGACTACCAGAGAAAGCTGGGCTGCCTTCTCTTCGCAGCCGTCACCTGCCGTCCGGATCTGTCGTACTCTGCAAGTCAGCTCGCTACTTACCTCAAGAAACCTGAAGCGGATCACATGGCGGAACTCGACCGCGCTCTTCACTACCTCGTCAGCACTCCGACGATCGGCCTGGCCTATCACAAGAACGGGACTACAACACCTAAACTAATCGGCTACGTCGACGCCGATCACGCCGGCGACTCCGACAACAGACGCTCGCGCACCGGCTACATCTATCGCTTCGAGCCTATCGGGCCTATCTCTTGGCAGTCGAGCAAGCAAGAATTAATCGCCCTCTCTTCAGCTGAAGCAGAATATATCGCACTCTGCTCAGCCACCAAGGAAGGGCTGTACCTTCGCGAACTCCTGGAGGAAGCCAAGCTAGCCCAGTTACCAAACTTCACCCTGTTCTGCGACAACCAGTCGGCCATTCGCATAGCCAACAAGAACGGCTTCGCGAACAGGACGAAACACATCGCCCTGCGATATTTCTTCGTGAAAGACGAGACCGAGAAGGGGAGACTCGAACTGTCATACTGTCCTACGTCCGAGATGGCAGCTGACTACTTGACCAAGAAGCTCGGAAAGCAGAAGTTCGAGTACTGCATGCTGCTGACTGGACAGAGCCACGTCACCAGCAATGACACTCCAGAAGCGAAGGGGAGTGTTGGAAACAATTAATTCTAAGCGCCTCTGTCGTGTCGAAACACCAAGTCAGAAGCGAAGAAAAGCATATCGAAGCACTGGCGAGTCAACCCTCGGAGGTTGAGCAGTTGCTGGAGGTTACGCGAAAGTCAAAGGTCAGCGACCTTTGACCTGACAAGTACAGCGCGACAGCAAGGACACACAACTGACTCGCTACAGAGCAGTTGCCCGAGTCGTCACTGTATCGAATCGCAACAGCAACAGTAAAGTAGTTGCAACCGTATCTCTTCGTATTCCTTGTACTCTTATATAATCTTGTATCTCCTTACCTTAATCAACTACTTTGCCCTCACATACTAGCGCAAGGTGGTTCGCAGACTTATCATTAAACACTTCCGCTATTATATCATTCCTACTCAGAGTTTAGTCCTGCAAAGATCCTAAGGGCTTTTTCTCAGCCCAACACAAATGACATATGGCACATTTTTGTTGGGCTCTCATTCACAACTTTGTTACCAGTGCTCCCCTACTGATGTTAGGCACCAGGCCCTACGTTATCAGGAATTTTTCCCTGAAATTCCTGATTTTCAGGGATTTTTTTTGTACCTATCCTGATTTTCCAGTGTTCAGTTTTCTTAGGGGCTGATCTTTCAGCCTTTAGGTGCCAGATGACTCTGATCTTTCAGGGTTTTTTTCGAAAGGACACTGATCACTTTACGTTGTAACGAATCCGACCCTGAATGCGGTTCCTACACGTGCCGAGTGTAGGTGCCCAGAAGTACAGGGAATATCAGATTCCCGCGGTGTCTGGAAAAAAATTCGTCTGGTACTCACCGCCAGCACCACCTGGCGGTGAGAACGAGACAAATTTTCCCCGAGTTTCACAACTGGTGGGCTGTTGAATTTGGCGCGCGTGGAACGAACGTTGCCCAGTTTCGCATCATTGCGTGGGTTGACCAATCACAGGGTTGCAGCATAGCAATGCTGGCAGTGTGCGGTGCGAGGGTGTCTTGCACCTGAAGTGTATCAGCGTTTAGAAAATGGGGACACTGATGCATCAGAGATTTTAAAAAAGGAACACTGAACTTTCAGGGATTTTTTTTTAGAGACACTGATTATCAGGGATTCTACACAAGGGGACCCTGATGCCTTTACGTGCCTAAAAGTGAATCATAGGCCCTGTTAGGCACTACCGTAGTAATCACTAAACATTTGGAGCAATCCTGACAAGCAGATACCATAGTCCAGTCCTTCTGGCATAGAGGCAGACAGCCTCTAAATTACAACATCCATGAGCGAATACATCATTTCTAAATATAAATTTACTGTAAAACCAGCAGTTTATGGTACAACGGCAGACAGCACACAAAGGCAACATACGGTACCAATATATAGCGATGACCAATACCACACGACTTCAATCAGCACAGCACAACTGCTTTTGAGCACAGCAGTAACCCTGCCACAGCTACCTCATGTAAGGAGAGCGAAACAAGAGAAAAAAGGTCATGAGAAGGCGAGAGGAAGAAGCGGCAGCAAGGAGGGAGGTGAATGGGTTGGAGCAGCTGAAGCGAAAGCCTACAATATAAATTGAGATAGAGAGCTGACTTGCAGCTCACTCACACGAACCAACCAACTCCACGTTGTTGCAGTATCTACACACCTTGCGACAACCGCCAAGAATGACCAAACGCAGTTACCGACTTGTGGATGCGGCAACAGATGGTTTTGCATAAGGATGGCAGCAATATGTGCGTGAAGTCTGAAATGAGAAGTGAGTGAAGTGCGTCGTGCTTCATCCTTGTGCCAACCCCACAATGTGCTCCACTGTGCCTCCCCTCCTCAACCCCCTCAAGTCATCATGCTCTTTTCCCCGTGGCATCCACTCCACCACACCCTTCACGCCCCCTCCCCCTGAAACATCTTCCACCCCTCTCCTCTCCTCTCCCCTCTCTCCCCCCCCTCCTCCCCCTCCCCCCCTCTCTTTCCGCCCTCCCTCCCCCCTCTTCCTGCCCTTTGAATTGAAACCCAATTTCTAAAAAACTACTGATCCATGCCCTTACCCTGCACACCTTTACCCACTGTTCTTCCTCAAACCCCACTCTTGAATTCACCTTTTCAACCCCAACCCCATTCCACTCCTCCATGTCGCTCTCTCAACTCTTTCCTCCATGTCGCTCTCTCAACTCTTTCCTCCATGTCGCTCTCTCAACTCTTTCCTCCATGTCGCTCTCTCAACTCTTTCCTCCATGTCGCTCTCTCAACTCTTTCCTCCATGTCGCTCTCTCAACTCTTTCCTCCATGTCGCTCTCTCAACTCTTTCCTCCATGTCGCTCTCTCAACTCTTTCCTCCATGTCGCTCTCTCAACTCTTTCCTCCATGTCGCTCTCTCAACTCTTTCCTCCATGTCGCTCTCTCAACTCTTTCCTCCATGTCGCTCTCTCAACTCTTTCCTCCATGTCGCTCTCTCAACTCTTTCCTCCATGTCGCTCTCTCAACTCTTTTTCAATGTTACGAGTGACTGTACTGAGCAGGTAGTGCCACATGTCCTAACTCCTGCACATGCAGTCGCCCTCCGACCACCCGCACCCTGCTGCTGGCAACAGCAGCCGGGGAGACATGGGGAAGGAGGGGTGTGGGGAGGGAATGGGACAGGGAAGCAGGAAAGGAACCATGAGGGGTTTGAGGTGTGGCTGTGTGTGCTGGCAGGTGGGTGAAGGAATGGTGGAGACATAAGTTGATGATGGCTGCAAGCACACACTTGTGCTTTGTGCAAAAGAACAGAGGAAGAGGCAAGTGATGGAAAAGAGTAGGCGGATTGGTGCGAGAAGAGGAGAGGGGGCGAGAAGTGGTGCGGAGTAGGAGGCGTTGAGCTGCTGGCAGGCAGACAGAAGAGAGAGCGGGGACAGCGGAGAGGGCGGGGCAGGGGAGAGGGCGGGGCAGGGGAGAGGGCGGGGCAGGGGAGAGGGCGGGGCAGGGGAGAGGGCGGGGCAGGGGAGAGGGCGGGACAGGGGAGAGGGCGGGGCAGGGGAGAGGGCGGGGCAGGGGAGAGGGCGGGGCAGGGGAGAGGGCGGGGCAGGGGAGAGGGCGGGGCAGGGGAGAGGGCGGGGCAGGGGAGAGGGCGGGACAGAGGAGAGGGCAGGGCAGGGGAGAGGGCGGGACAGGGGAGAGGGCGGGACAGGGGAGAGGGCGGGACAGAGGAGAGGGAGGGCGAGACTGCATTCTGGTCGCCCCAAGCTCAAATAAACGGCAAGTAGCGCGTCTTGCCAGCAAGAGGACTCATGAGCCAGCCATCATCAGCCACGCATACGGTACGCACATGATATCCCAAGACCACAACACACCACACCACTCTGACTGCCGCTACATCTGCCCTGCCCTATCCATATCAGCATGACCTGGCAGCAAGCTTCGGTCTCGCAGATTGAGAGTACCGGTAACGCGGCGAACCCTAACGCTGCTGCTGCATTGGATCCCCCACATTCCACGCGCAACATTCTGAGCATCTCAGCGACTGCAACCCCAACACTGCTGCCATGAACTCACACTAAGCACTTGAATTTCCAGCTGCATGCGTCAATCCTGTCCATCCAGCGCAGCCGAATTCCTTTCAACCACTCGCCGCTTCACTCGCTGTGCCTCGCATGATCGGTCCTGCTGGCAAACCAGCAGCCAGCCCAGCCCCACGGCTGCCTACGCCACGCCATGCCCTTCACTGAAAGAAAACGGCCAGAGGCAGAAAACGGGTCGGGACAGAGAAGAGAGAGGGGACGGGGGAGGGAGGGAGGGAGGAGAGGGAAGGAAATGGAGATGGGGAATGGAAATGATGTGGGACAGGGGGAAAGACGCGGAAGGGGAAGGCAATGGAAAGGGCAGCGGTGGGGTTAGGGGTAGGGATACAGATAGGCGTTGGATGAAGGGGGTGCAAGGGATAACGAGGGGTTAAGGCGTGGTGATACCTGCTGACTTTAAAAGTTTGCGACCATAGGTGAAAACAGGGGAGAGGCATAAGGAAAAGGGAACCAGAATAATACAGATACAGGGAACGGGGTAGAGTATGAATGGGGAGGCGAAAGAGACAGAAGGGAAAGAACGGGTGAGAAGGGGTGCAGCGGGTGTGCTGAGCTTCGAGAGTCCACGACGATTGGTGGTATAAGGCGAGAGGCGAAAGGGGAATGGAACTGGAATGCGACAAAGAAAGGGGAGAAACAGGGGAGAGTAGGAACGGGGAGGCGAAAGGGACAGAGGGCAGGAAAACGCAAATCCAGGAGATTAAAAGCACGGGTAAGGGAAAGACAAGATGATAAAGGGAGGGAGCCGAGAGGAGAATGCATTGACGAGCTTGCGGCTTACCGATTCACGTGCAGTCGCATTGAAGGCGAATGAGCTGCGAATGCGATGATGGAACCAATCCTCGCCGAGCAGCACCCGCTTCAACCGAATCAGGCCATGCTGAGCCGAATGAGGACTCGCAGTACCGCAGATTGCGACCTGGGCTCAAACTATACCGTCTCGCCACCAGCAACGTCCGCGGCTGGAAACCCTAACACGCTGATTTCGCGCATCCATGTGTCCGTGGCACAGAAAGTTGAAATTGCCGTGGTTTCGCGCAACTCGCAGGCACTATGTGTCAATCGCGTCGATGCCATGCAATCCAATCCCATCAGTCACTCGCCGCCTCACTCCGTGCCTTGCATGATCGTTCGCTGCTCTCAGAACAAGCACCAGACCCACGGCTGCCGTGGACGCGCCGTGCATTGATTCGTCGTGTGTGGAGGTCATGGACTCATGGTAGAGCAGGAGTCGATAGGGCGACGTGGAGAGCGGTTGCAAGACGAGAAGCGTAGTTGCAAGAGAACCCAGCTGATGCAAGATATTCGCTTGGAGGGATGAAGACTTCGGGTGTATCAATATTTCGCAAGCGTTCTACTAATTGGCGAACTATTAGTAACCAGCTTTGTATTCCACGTCGCAGAGAAGCCAATCGATTTTTTTTCGCAAGGAATCTTTCGCGTTCAACGAAGTTCATGGTGATCAAATTAGGGTTTGCAAACCTGTCCACCCAAGGACTAACCTCAAAAGCGACCCGCGCGCTAAAATCGAGGTGGCAAGCAGAGGAGGATACCGCGAGGATCAAACGAACGAGCCGCATCGGCGCTGTCACCATCGTCCTGTGTGCCTCGTTCACTCCCGCTCCATTCCTGTCGTTGTCGCTGTCATTCATCTCACCCAGCCTGTCATTCCCTGCGTGTGTGCGTCTGTGCCACTCATCGCGCTTCGTTGGGAACGCCGCACGACGCGGTATTTAAAGCCAATCCGCTATGCCTATCCTCGTCGCCCGACAGCCAAATGCGACTGGAAAGTCAATATTCTTGTTGTCGCCTGTCGTGGCATACATTTGCGCGCGTCCTAGTCTGCAGGAAACGTCAACCATGCTGTCATGGCCTCGAAAGTCCCATATGACGCCCCATCGCGAGAAACGAAGCAGAAATGGTGAAACGTTCGCTATGCGGCACGCTGGACGCAAGCGCCGCTCGAGCTTACACTGCAGGAAACCGTCTGCGGAAGAACGCCTTATGAGATGTAGAGAGTCCCATCCCTCGGCACTCGTGCCTGCCATCTGCTCGCTGCTCCTGCCTAGTGCCGCCGCCTCTCAGCCGTGCAGGGCAGTTCCCTGATGAAACAGCCACTAAGCTGTTTGGGCAGAGTAGTAGTAGTAGGAAGCGTTGTTAGAAGAATTCCAGGAAGAAAGTAGCAAGATAGCTTTACAAGAGATCATATGATGGCATACATTTCAGAGATGCATCCTAATATACTAGGATACTAGCATGGGCGCCTCGAGCTGGTCGCTCAGGTCGCCATTATTATTCCAAGAGCTAAGAACAGCAAGGCATAGTCACTATGATTATGTACACAAGATTCTAGCCTTGTTGTCATATCCTAGAACCAATTAGCAAAGTCTAGGAATTCACTAAAGACACAGGCAGAGATTATTTGTCTTGTTGTCGTCCATGTTGTCGTTGATAATGATGACCACAAGCTCCGTTGGAAGTAGTCATGGCTGTAGGTAACTATGCTTGCTTGTGCTGTCAAGTACGTTGCTGCGCTGTTGGAATTCTCTGCCGTGTTGTGTCCAGCAGTAGAGTGCTCTCTGGAGTTGTTCCCACGGTTGGAAACTCAGAATTACGAGCCGCACAATTCAATGTTGGATTCCAACATTGAATTCCCGAAATGTATTTAGGGTGTGTTCCGAATTCTGGTTCGGATCACAAGGAGCTGAGTTGGCGAAATCGAGGATGACGAGATCGCCTTCGTCTTGTTACATTACTCCCCTCTCCAGCAAGCACCGTCCTCGGTGCTTGAGCAGATGCAAGATAGCTCTGAAGGGCTCTTTGGGCATTCTGAAGGCTTGTCTCGGGTATCCAGAGGTTGTGAGAGGAGTCTTTCCCACGCCACTTAACAAGGAAGTAAGTGCTGCGAGGAGAGGTTTCATGGGACAGAATTTTCTCAACTTCGAAGAGATCAGGGTTTGATGTGAACATAGGAGGCCGAGGAGGCAGAGGTAAGAGGGGGAAATGGGCTGGAGGAGTGTGGTAAGGACGTAGCAGCTGAACGTGAAAAACAGGGTGTATGTTGATGTGTGGTGGAAGTTTCAAACGGTAGGTGAGAGGAGAGAGAACTTGGGTGATGGTGAAAGGGCCAATGAAACGAGGTGCAAGCTTACGAGTGAGACCTTTCTGCAGCAAGGGAAGGTTTGTGGTGGAGAGAAGAACTTGGTCACCTACATGGAACTGAATGTCACGACGGTGTTGATCGGCGTACCGGATCATTCGGTGTTGGGATTTGAGCAAGGAAGCGCGTGCTGCTGCAATGGTCTTTTCCCGAGTGGAGAGGAAGTCGGCTGCTGGTTTGGTGTCACTGCTGCGTACGAGAGAAGCTGGTGTGCGGGGCTGCTGACCTGTAGCGAGGAAGAAAGGGGTTTGTCCCGTGGCGAGGTTTGGTGTCACTGCTGCGTACGAGAGAAGCTGGTGTGCGGGGCTGCTGACCTGTAGCGAGGAAGAAAGGGGTTTGTCCCGTGGCGAGGTTCACCGTGTTGTTGTAGGAGAATTCGATCGATGGCAGGTGCTGGTCCCAATCGTTTTGCCGTGCACTCACGCATGCACGCAGGGCATCTTCAAGGGTTCGATTCATCCTCTCGGTCTGCCCATCGGGCTGAGGATGGTAGGCAGTGGAGAGACGAATCTTGGTGCCCAATCTGTTGAAAAGGGACTGCCAAAATCTGCCAACAAACCGAGAATCACGGTCACTGATTAGTACCGAAGGAATGCCATGGAGACGTACCACCTCGTTGAAGAAGAGATCAGCGACGTTCTCAGCAGTAGCGGTGGTGGAGGTAGGGAGGAAGTGTGTCATCTTGCTCAGCTTGTCCACGACGGTGAGGATGGCGTTGTGATGGGAGGAGGTGCGAGGCAGATCTGTGATAAAGTCGAGTGTCACATGAGTCCATGGGAGCTGAGGAATTTCCAGAGGGTGTAGGAGGCCGTAGGGTGCTGCGTTGCGAGCCTTGTTGCACTGGCATGTGTGGCAGCTGCGTACGTAGGAGCGGACATCTCGAGAGAGCTTGGGCCAGAAGAAGTTGGAAGAGATGGCAGCAAGCGTTTTGTCCACTCCGAAATGCCCATTCTGGTCATGATGCTCGCGTAGCAGGAGGTGACGAAGCTTGCGCTCTGCGGGGACGCAGATGACTTGGGAATCTGCCTTATACCAAAAGGGGGATTCGTAGAAGACAGATTTATCATCAGCAGCAGAGAAGAGATAGAAACGGTCACGACGATACCCTTTGATGAATTTCTTGATGAAGCTTTCGTCCCATGTGACACTTCCGATGGTGGTGAGCTGACGTTGAGGAGGCCGGGTCAAAGAATCAGCAGGGTTGAGGCGGCCAGCGCGGTACTCGATTTTCAGCTCCGGTACGTACTGTTCCAGGTACTCCATCCATCGGGCCTGCCTCGGGGTGAGATGGGGCTGCGTCTTCAGGTATTGCAGGGTGCAGTGATCGGTAAGAACAGTGACGGGCTGCATGTGAACATAGCAGCGCCACTTCTTGATTGCATGGACGATGGCCAGCGCCTCGCGATCGTGAGTTGCATAGTTGCACTCGGCAGGTTTGAGTTTCCGGGATTCGAAGGCGATAGGCTGAAGGCCATGCCCTTGATCTTGACAAAGAATTGCACCCGTTGCAACCTGAGACGCATCTGTCCATATCACGTAGGGAAGGGAGGGGTTGGGTAGGGCTAGAGTAGGAGAAGAGGTTAGTGCACACTTGAGAGCATTGAAGGCAGTTTGCTGGTCAGAGTCCCAATGGAATGGTTCAGTTTTGCGAAGAAGGTTGGATAGGGGAGAGGTAATGGCAGCAAAGTGTCGAATGAACTTGCGGTAGTAGTTGGCAAGACCAAGGAAGGCTTGCACTTCCTTGATAGAGGTTGGCTCCTTCCATTCTCTGATGGCGTTGACTTTGGAAGGGTCCATAGCAAGCTGGTTGTGTGAGATGATGTGGCCCAAGAAAGGAATCGAGGGCTTGGCGAACTCACACTTGCTTTGTTTGGCGAAGAGACGATGCTCACGAAGCCGTGTGAAGACTTGCCTTAGATGCTCGGCGTGTTCCTTCAAGGATTTGCTATAAATCAGAATGTCATCAATGAAGATGATGACAAACCGGTCCAAGAAATCCCGAAAGACACTGTGCATCAAGGACATGAAGGTGGCAGGGGCATTCGTTAGTCCGAAAGGAAGCACGAGAAACTCGAAATGCCCATACCGTGTTCGAAAGGCAGTTTTCTCGATGTCTTCGTCAGCGACACGCACTTGATGGTAACCGCTTCGTAGGTCCAGCTTGCTGAAAATTGTGGCCTCACCAAGTTGATCAAAGAGTTCTTCCACGCGAGGTAGGGGGTAGCGGTTCTTGATGGTGATTTTGTTGAGCGCACGGTAGTCAACACACATGCGCATGCTGCCATCCTTCTTTTTTACGAAGAGAATTGGTGCTGCATAGGGAGAGGAGCTGACACGGATGAAACCCTTCTCAAGAAGCTCCTCCAACTGCTTCTGAACTTCTTTCAGCTCGGCAGCACTCATCCGGTACGTAGCGCGAACGGTAGGTTCAGCACCGGGTTGTAAGATGATGCGGTGATCGATGGCACGCTTCGGAAGAAGTGAAGAGGGAAGATCAGCAGGGAAGATGTCTTTGAACTCATTGACAACCTGTTGAATTTCAGAAGGGAATTCAGCAGCCTTGGGAGGGGAAGGGAGAATAGGAGATTCTGAAATTTGATTC